GAGAGAAATCTGCACAGATCAAGCAGCGTTTAAACAGCTCTAAACACATATGTGTCTGGATTTTGATGCGAGAGGCAACAGCAGATGCACTTTTTCACTGGAGGAAGAGTTATTATGAATTATGGACTCTATGTGTTTTAGTTAAAAGCGTCTTAATTCTGGATGTGTTTCAGCTTTTGTCTTCTCCAGATGTTAACTGATGGACTGGAGTGCTGTGGATTATTGTGATGTTTTTATCAGCTGTTTGCACTCTCGTTCTGACGGCACCCATTCACTTGCAGTGAGACACTGATGCAATTTCTCCAAACCTGATGAAGAAACAAACTCATCCACATCTTGGAGACCAGGACCTTCTGCAGATCTAATAGAAAAGGGCATACATGATTGAGATGAAATATGACGGCAGATGTTTCTGTTCAGTAACGCTGGAGACCGAGAGCAGCAGTGACTGCGAGGAACAATGAGTGCTTTAGCATCATGTGATGAGGAACACACCGAGCTGCGATGCGTGTGGAATGTGTTGTGAACACAGTGTTGGTGTCGAGACACACAGTATAATGGCATTCTGACCCAGAGGCGCATGACTGCTGACAGCAGCGCGCTCACAAGAGACTCATTACAGCACAAACCAGCCACTATACCACATCAGCATCCCATCTGTTCATATTCAGAACCAGAACCTAACACACTGCACTGCCACGAATCATGCTCTTCCTCAGTGTTTCTGTCTTGTTCTCCAGAACAAATCTCGAAACATCCTTACATCAAGACACGTTTACTGGAGACGCACATGACTTTTTAAAAAAATGTATCAACATTTTGGAGTAAAAGAAGAGCAGTGTGGTCAAAACAACAATAACGTAGCTGAACTCAAATGGAAAGCAAGATTATTTTTCTGACCCAGTTGGCAGAACTTTAAAAAAATGTTTTAAACATAAATTCACTTCATTGTGATACATTTTTCAGAAGAAAAAAACAAGATTTTATAGTCATTTTGCATCTCCAGTAAATGTATCTTGTATGAATGTTTAGATAAATGTGACCCTGGAGCACATTTAAGGGTCAATTTTGTGAAATTGAGATGTATGCATCAGCTGAAAGCTGAATAAATAATCTTTCCATTGATGTATGGTTTGTTAGGAGAGGACAATATTTGAAAATCTGGAATCTGAGGGTGCAAAAAAATCTAAATATTGAGAAAATCATCTTTAAAGTTGTTCAAATGAAGTTCTTAGCAATGCATATTACTAATCAAACATTAAGTTTTGATATATTTACGGTAGGAAATATACAAAATATCTTCATGGAACATGATCTTTACTTAATATCCTAATGATTTTTGGCATAAAAGAGAAATGTATAATTGTGACCCATACAATGTATTGTTGGCTATTGCTACAAATATACCCCAGCGACTTAACACTGCTTCTGTGCTGCAGGGACACTTATTACAATGTGCTGGAAAAGAAGACAGAAACGCTGAGGAAGAGCTGCATGTTTTGCATCATGTCAGTAATCCAGACAGATCTGACTCTGGACTCACATGACTCTGTGTAACTGGATCAACTTATAAAACTGCAGGTTACCGTGGAAACCGCTGGACTGCTGACCTGTGTGTGTGTGAATCTAATCATCGACACGCAGCCGCTTTAAAACTTATGGTTTTTATTTCCAGTAAATAATATGCCGTTTTATGGCATTTCTTTAATATGAGGTGAAAACTGACTGTAGAACAACGGTTTGACTAGTGAAGAGTCTCTGAACGTCACACTCATCTTCTGTAATCTGCTTTATCTGTAAGAGTTTGACCACACAGTCCGAGTCTCACAAGCTATCAATAGTGTGCAAGTTGCTGATATGTAAAATATATAATTACACTAAAAAACAAAAAGATTTTCACCCTCAATCATTTTTTTTGTCTTGTTTTTCAGAAAAAAATATCTAAACATCCTTAAATGAAGTCGTGATTACTTGAGAAGCAAACTTACATCAGATAACAATACTTATTTTCTTTAAAAACAAATCTAAATGAAGTGATTTTGCACTTAAATCAAGAAAAAAATACCGCATTGGCAGATATTCGTTCTTATCTTAAGCATAAAGTCACTTCATTTTTCAGAAAACAAGACTTATGCATCTTATAATGAAGGATGTTTAGATATCTGTACTGGAAAACAAGACAAAAATGCTGAGGAAGAACATCATTATTTACAATGTACATATTGTTTCATAAGAGCACATAATGTTGATATTGTGAGTCTGATGAACAAGCATGCTCTTTCTCTGAGTCATAATGAGGAGGAGACGCATATAAAGGCAGTGAGACAGATGCTGGTCTGCGGCTCCTCGTGGTTCTGCTGCTCATCCACAGGTACAGTGATCCTCAGCTTCTCTTCTCAATGCTGGAATAGCCAGGAATCATGTACTGTAACTGTAGCTGTCTATCAGTGAGAGTCTGATGTGGAGAGATTCCAGTCATTAGATCTGATCCTGTCGTTAGTGCCTAAAGATCATCGTTTGCTGTTGTAGCACGGTTTGCCCTTCAGTTCTTAAATACTGGTTTAACTTGCACACGTTTAGCAGTCAGATCACTAGTTAGATCACAAGTACTGGTTTAGAATGATGATTAGCGGAGTACATGGGACTTATATTTGAAATAATTTGAAATATGAAAGGATATACACTAATGGTCAAAATTTTAATGTGTTAAACTGTAATGTATTTCTGTGATGCGCAGCTGTATTTTCAGCATCATTCCTCCAGTCTTCAGTGTCACATGATCTTCAGAAATCAGTATAATATGCTGATCTGCTGCTCGAGAAACATTTCTGATTATTATCAATGTTGAGAACATTAAACTGGACGCATTAAATTGATCAAAGTGAGAGTAAAGACAATTATAATGTTACAGAAGATTTCTATTTCAAATAAATGCGGCTCTTTTGAACTTTCTGTTCATCTGTGAATCCTGAAAAATACAATGTATCACGGTTTCCACAAAAATATTAATGTACTCAACATTGATAATTATCAGAAATGTCTCTCGAGCAGCAGATCAGCATATTATACTGATTTCTGAAGATCATGTGACACTGAAGACTGGAGGAATGATGCTGAAAATACAGCTGCGCATCACAGAAATACATTACAGTTTAACAGATATACACACAGTCAAATACAGATAAATATTTTGTCAATAATGCAATAGGACAATAAGAAACAGTCAGTTTTTCAGTTCAAGTCAAGTTTTATTAAGTTCCCTCACGGGCTATTTTGGATGCAGTGAAACCGACATACAACAGACACATACAAAACATTCTTAAAAAATCATGAATACATACAAATATAAATAAAATACATTTCCCTAAAAAATTCCTTTCAACCGAATTGCACAGGGGACAAATGTATATCGGTTACTTTTCATCAAATAGCATCTGTGCCATCAAGCCGACAATATTGCCAGAAATGAAGAAAACGGCTATTTTAAACTTTAATACTATTTCACTGTTTTTGTGATCAAATAAATGCAGGCTTGGTGAGCAGACGAGACTTTTCATTCAAAATGTTTTAAATCTTTATTATTCCCAACGCATGACCAGTGAGACGGCACTATACTGTCAAACTGGTCAATATTAAGGTGCTAAAGGGATCCTAACTCCCCCGCCAGTGAACAGTGCCATCATTATCCTCATGTGATGTTGTTCAGCGCGCCAGACACCGTGCAGATGGAGAGTGGATCTGTAATGATCTGTGATGGTTTGTTTCTCAGGTTCAGGTCCATCATGAGTTGCCCGTCCTCCGGTCAGCAGGGTGTTTACCCACAAACCCCTCAGCAGTGGCCCGGTCAGCCCTGCCAACCCTGCTGGTCCTGCCAACCCACTCAGCCCAACTGGCCTGCTAACCAGCCCAGCACGACCTGGCCGGTCCAACCCACCCAACCAGGCTGGCCCAACCCTCCACCAATCCAACCAAACCCACCAACCCAACCCATCCCACCGATTCAACCAACCCAACCCATTCAACCAATGCAACCAATGCAACCAATGCAACCCAACCCTCCAATCCAGCCGATCCCACCCATTCAGCCGAGCTGGCCTGCTCAACTACCCCCCTCGACGGGTTACCTGCCCTCTCCAGTGGCTCCAGCGTGGCACGGTAATCCTGGTCAGCCCGGTTGGCCCGGTCAGGGGCCCGCAGGAGGAGCGCCGCAGCCGTGGCCCCCGGCACCAGCCATCGCTCCTGTAGTAAGACACTGAACCAGCGCTTTACCACAGACATCCGTCAATGCAGTGAATAAAACACAGCAAAAGCACCGCTCACACTACACTTACCTCCCCGCTGACTGCCTTTCACACGCATGCACAACTCATGCTAATGCGCTCTCAAACTCTAGTTTGGTGAACTGCTGAATTAACTCATTTAAGATTGATGCATTGAAAAAAAATGCAGTTCTTCCTCAGTGTTTCTGACTTGTTTTCCAGTACAAATATCCTTAACTCAAGACACATTTACTGGAGAAGCAACACGACTTAAGTTTTCTGAAATATCTACCAAAAAGAAGTGGGTTTATGCTTAAAACGAGAAAAAATATAAATCTGTCATTGCTGTGGGAACAAGAAACGTTTAATTCAAAGGCAAAAGCAGGATTCTGAGCCACATATTTGTTCTTGTTTTAAGCATAAACTCGCTTCATTTTGACACATTTAAAAAACAAACATGACTCGGGATCTTCAGTCATTTTGTATCTTGTATTTATGGATTTTTTGTTATTTATGATGGAAAATAAGACAAAAAATGCTAAGAAAATCATTTTTTGCAGTGTGCGTCACATCGTGATCTCGTGGCTGAATTAAAAGAACACAAACTTTAAATCTGCAGGATCGCAGCAAACTGGAGTAGATTATATATTTGTACATTTTATGCTAAATTCTGTTTTTATAAAAGATGCTGTGGATTGTGAGATCATATAAGACCGACGCAGCGGCATAAGAAGTTTTGCACGCACAAAGTCTAGTGTGAAATAAACCGACTGATCCGCTTCTAACAGAGAGGAGAAACATGCTGAGGTCAAAGGTCGTGTGTCCCATCAAACTCTACAGTATTTCAGCACATTCTGAGGATCTGATCAGATCAGACAGATGAAGCACGGACCGGCTGAACCTCAACTAAACCACACAAGACAAAAGAAAAGAGTTAACGACTGCCTCTTATTGAAACTCTATGATTGTAAAATTCTGAATCAAATCCAGCTGAGAGCCGATGATGTAGAAATATCATTCGCTGGCGTTCCTGAGCCTGTTAATGTTTTCTGTTTTCCAGACGGTTCCTTTCAACATGAATTTCCCCCGCGGCATCTACGACAAGCTAATGCTGACTATCAGAGGACAGATTCGACCAGACGCCAAGATGTAAGTGCAGACCACATTTTCTGAACACAAAAGATGATGTCAGTCCCCAGTGACTTCCACAGTATGAAAAAAACACTATGGGGACTATCAACTGTATGATACATTCTACAAAGTATCTTCTTTTGTGTTCAACAGGCGGAGGAAACTCTTAAAGCTTTGTAACAACATTGGAGAGAGTAAATGATGGCAGATCCCTGTTGAAAAAACAGCATATGCTGGTTAGGTATGTTTTGAAGCATGACTGCTGGTTTGAGCTGGTCATGTGCTGGTCCTAAGCAACTAGCTCCTGCTCAAACCATCTTAAACCAGCTCAAACCAGCAGTCATGCTTCAAAACATGGGTGAACCATCTCTTTATGTTTGAGTAGTGTGTGGGATTGTCAGAACTTGAAATCACATATAAATGACTCCAGATCATAACATGAACAGAATTTGATACTTTGACAAATGGCTTTAGAACGAATCGTGAGTTTGTCGACACCAAAAGTGTCACTAATGTTTCTCCCGCCACAAGGTTCACGATCAACTTCCTGCGCGGTAACGACATCGCTCTTCACATCAACCCGCGCTTCAGCGAGGGAGGGAAGCCGGTTCTGGTCCGCAATCACAAACTGGGAGAGCGCTGGGGGAAAGAGGAGCGGGATCTTCTGTCGCCGTTCCCCTTCATGCCCGCTCATCACTTTGAGGTAAACGACTCGCTGCGAGATCCTCTGCCTAAAAACAGAGTGTTGAAGCGCCTCCCGTTTATGGGTGGAATGAAAGCAGCAGGACGGTCCAGACAGTGAATGACTGACCCTCACGTCTCTCTGCAGATGAAGATCCTCTGCACCTTCACGGAGTTCAAGGTGGCCGTCAACAACACGCCTGCGTTTGACTTCCAGCACCGCATCAAAGAGGTCAACCAGATCGACCGCATCAACATCCTGCACGACGTCACGCTCACGTCCGTCAACGTGGACACGCTCCCATGAGCCTCCGCGAGCCTAATCAAGCACATTCAGCTACAGCGGCAGCATCACACCATGACACTCCGAGACACCCCACATTTGGTCATTTTGACCTGGAGAGGAATTTCTTCTTCACGAAAATGCTAGTTAATGTTTTCACACTGGACTAAAGCTTACTGACTGCTCACACGGAGTATAAGAACTTCACAAAAAAATGATCATTTCACAATTTTTTCCCCCACACCTTGTTTCTAGGTGACTAGGCTACAAAAAATGCTTAGAATGTTCTCATTATGCTATATTATTACCAAATACTGAATTCTATCTTTGAGTCTTGTTTCTTATCTATTAGCACAGGTTTCGTTTCTTTTTGCAGCTGATTGATTGAAGCGTTAAGTGAAAGTTATAGAAATAGAGGTTTTCTTTTGCAAAACAATGGGACATTAACTAACAAAGAAATACTAACATCTTTACTTTTATTCTGTCTTATCTGTAAAGTATAACGAGATCCAGATGTCTGAGAAACTTGAGAATGTCACGGTTAAACTCATCATGTGTGATGAATGTAATGTGTTTTACAGTACAACAGAATAACACCAATATAAGCAAAACCCTACTAATAATGAGTGTGAATTAAAGTATTATTTAAAGCCAATGTAAATGAATCATAAACGTCATCTACTTACATATCATATTTCAGTTTATTGTGTAAGAAATCAGGTCAGACAAGCACTGATAACAAATAAAAATGCATGGCTGATTAATGTGTCATTAAATAATCAAGACAAAACACTAATATGCTGAACTGCAGATTACAGACACATTATTAACTTATTTGGCAATAAAACATCAATAAAAATGGATATTAAAAGCAATTAAGAACACAAATACTCTGGTAAAAATAAAAAATATTAACATCCACAAGAGTAACTGACACGGAACACTTCAGATCATATAAGACACTACAAGTTCAAATCAGTTCAAATTAAATATGCAAATATATGCATGTGAAATACACTCACACACACGCTCGCACACTCTCACACACACACACACACTCTCTCTCTCACTCTCACACACACACACACTCACTCTCACTCACACGCTCTCACAGACACACACACGCGCACACACACACACACACAC